GCAGCAGGGTTGCCAGTAAGGTACTGTTAATTTACAGCTCTTAACCTTTAATTTACAACTCTTAATTTTTACAGTGTTTTACCGTAATTCTATCATGGAAATTAACTCCGCTCGCATTGCTTCAAACAGTTTGAGTTTTAAAACTAGCATTCATACGATGTCAGTACTGTGAACTTATTTAATTTGAGTTAACTGAGAAGGAATATTTCTTAGTATAAAACTGCAAACACTTAATGTGCAACAGCAAAATAACTAAAACCATTATTTTGTCTCAAATCGTTGCAGTTCACTGTTTGCTATAGCACATATCTGTGAGATGAAGTAACAAAGAGATCATTACTGTATCAACAACTCCACAGTTACTGCCTTTAAATAAAGCAGCTGAACATCCGGATTTGTGGCTCATCACTGACTGAAGCACAGGCTCTACTCTCCAGCACAATGGTGACCCACAAAACTACATTAAACTAACAGATCTCTCTTGTGCAAAAACACATTAATACAGTTCAGTTCAATATTTACTCTCCTTATCAGTTCATGACTTTGCATAACTTTTTTTCTTTGGATGTTCACAAATATTTCAGTCAAATTCACTTTTTTCATTTGGTAAATCTGACTCTTACATTTTACAGTATATTGCTGTTTTCCTTGACTTAACGGCAACAAACTGTAGAAAAACAGTTATTTACTGGCAACCGTGCGTAAATAACTAGTTTTTTTTACTGTTTGTGGCCGTAAAATAATTACAGTTTATTACTGTTAAATTACATTTCATGCTGTTTCTTTCCATCTTATATCTTTATCCCTTTAAACCCCACAACAAAATCCTCAGTTTTAATGAACACTTATAATGTGTCCACACTACAGAGTGAAGCAGTGCTGAAGTTAATGAGATAATTCTGTGAATTATTAAGTGATTATTGTGCATTAGTGATGAACACCTGCTGTTAACGAGCAGAATCACTGAATGAAAGAGAAACACAAGAACTACAACTGACTTCAGCCACAGCCTTAGATGAAATCAACTGAAATAAAAGACATTAAATCTCTCAAGATCTAATTAAACAACTTCTAAAACAGCATCACCAGCTTCACATTACTAACCAGACTGATGCTATTTCTGTCAGATGTGTACAGAAGTGCTTATTGAAAATTAACAGAGGTTTAGATGTTGTTGTTTTCGGACACTACCATGATGGAGATCAGTGTTTGCTTTAGTTGGGATCTTGAACCTTGATTTCAGTATTTTGTTTATTTGGCTGCTTTGACTGTTGTGTTTTTCAGTACAATTGTTGTGGTGAAAAAGGGCTAAAGCACAGTATGTAATGGTGTTGATTATGAGTTGCAAGTGACGCAACCATATTTAAAAAACAGGTTTGCTGATTTTGTGCTGAGGCACTTTTTGTACCAAAGCGATGTTATATTGACATACTAGAGCAAAAGAACAAGCGGGCTATCATGAACGATAACACATCACTCAAAAAAAAGAAGTTCTAGCATGTTATGAAACACACACATGAAGAATCAGCGTACGAATCTCAACAACGGTGACAATCAAAAAAATTAATAAGCAGATCGACTTTGATCATCACAAAACACGCTACTAAAACTTGATACAAAAGCAAAAATAAAAGCACCTAGTAAGAATTAAAGAAAGTAAGTGGACAATTCAGCTGCATAATTTATTCATGCCGCAATGCATGCTGGGAGTCATGGATGAGTTTTGTCCTGTGCTGGTACCCAGCATGCATTGCAGCATGAAGCTTTTGATTGTCACCATTGTTGAGATTCATGTGCTGATTCTTGATGTCTCTGTGTGTCAAAGAAATTTTAAAGGCTTTGTACATGAGAAGCTTTCAATATCAATCATAATTATTTATCATTTCAACTTGCAGTATCATACAGCTATTGTAAATAACATGTAACAAATGAAAACCCACACAATATTTTTGAAGAACAGCCGCTGAGTGAGATCACAAAATGATGATTACACCATCAATAATTAACCATCTAATCATAATTTTTCTGTGCTTTTCTTTCTATAACAAATGTGTTTTTACAAACACAGTCACAACAACCAGCCAAACTAGCATTTAAAAGTGAAGGGTATAGAGCCCAACTAAAGCAAACCCTGATCACCACAATGGTGAGGTCAAAAAAATGTTTTCAATAAAACATCTAAACCTCTGTTAATTCTCAAAGAATGTATGTAGATATATGACAGAAATAAAGTCAAACTGTAATGCTGTTTGTGGAGTTGTTTGATCATGTTCTGCTGTTTTATTTCAGTTGATTTCATCTAAGGCTGTGGCTGTATGTCAGTTGTAGTTTCATTTCTTGCTCTTTTCTTCAGCGATTCTGCTTGTTAACAGCAGCTGTTCATCATTGGCTGAATTCACTCATTAGTTTTCATTCTCTCTGTCAGGTGGACTATATTAGTAAACTCATGTAGGGAATAGTGAATGAGGGTGTAGGGTGTGATTTGAAACAAAACCTCTGAGTGGCGACTCTGAACGCTGTTAATTCACAGTACTGCAGAAGGCTACTTTCTTGAAAACAACAAATATTACCCAGAATACATTGGGTTTTTTTTACGGGGTTGTACTGTTGTAATGAAAAAACAGGATGTTACTGTCAGAATATGGACATTTTTTAACAGCACTTTTTTACAGTGTACATAATCATGAAGGTCTCTAGAATCATCCAAACAAAAAAATCTTACAGGAGAGCTATAGTTTTTTGTATACTTAATCAAAAGTCCAAGTGGCAACTGTAGTGGGCAAATGACTTGTAAGTACATATCATGGGGAAATGGGGTGTACTGTGTTAATAGGTTAATAAAGCAAGGTTATTAGTCTTGTTTAGTGCTTTTTGCTTTCATAATATCCCACCTAAAACATAACTTAACCCTTTAACTGACATCTCTACTGTACAGTAGACCTTAATTTGATAGGGAATAAATCTGTCAAAAGGAGGAGATGAGAGAGCAATCTGTCTACAGCCCTACTGCCCCACTTCTGTGTCTGCTTTTGCCATGGGAGGGTGGGAATTTCCAGTTTTCAAGTGGCAGCAGCAGTTTACAAACTTCCGTCAGTCACACAAAGGGAAGAATGGAAAGATAAAGAGCTAAAGCATGGGATTAATTGCTGTATATTATCTTTTTCTCCCTTTTATGACATTATGTCTTGTAAGGGGCAAAATATTGAGGCCCCGTTATCCAGTTTGGATACGTTTCATTCTAATTGGTCAAGGACCCTAATTCATTTTATGACTAGTAGCTTATCATTGTACCATTGTAATGTTAATATTCAGACAAGTAATGAGTTTACATTGACATTATTATATGAAATCACCTACAACAGTCAGCCATTGAATACTATGGGCCTAAAAAAAATGCGTAATTTTCTTTCAGGTATACATTTTTTATTATACAGATGTAATATTTTCTTCATTCAATTTATTTTTATTTATTTATTTTCATTTAACTAACACACCTCTAAGAATGAAAATACCTGCATGTTCAATAATAAGTAAATAAATAAACAAACAATCATGGGTGTAGCCTACACATGACAATTATTTTAATAATCATATATTATAAAAAGAATATCATTAATTTCATGAATATCAATGACTTTTGTCAGGGTTAATCCATTTGACCTAATCAATATGTGCGTATTCATAAAATATATGATATTTTACATATTTACATATAGTATGCAAAAATGTTTATGTAAATTTATAAAACTACTTGTACCTTCACTGCAGTACTCCTTGTAGGCTACTTATACTAAAACTGCTTACGTAAGGGGAAGTTCACCAACAAATGGAAATGGGTTCAATTAAAGTGCAAAAATAACTAAATAAACTAAATATAAAAACTAAAATCTAACAAATTAATAATAATAATTATTATAATTAAATATTAATAATAATAATTACAAAAAATAAACAAAATTCCTAAACCTTTTACTAAAAATAAAATTAAAACCAAAATATAAAAATATTGTGTAATTCAAAATATTAACAAAAAATACAATAGTACATCATTGCTATTAAAATAATACTAATTCACTTAACATAGCATGTGCCGAGGAAACAGGAGCAAGTTTTTGTGTCTAGACTAACTGGTTAAAAATGTATTATACTTTAGGATCATTAATTCATAGGAATCTATTAGGAGATTTTAGAAATATTAAGAAACATTTGCTGAGTGACCTCTTTAACTTGGTATGCTGAGTGCCACATGCTATGAGTAATGTGTACCTACTTTTTCTATGCCAAAAAAAAGTAAAATATGTTTTCAACAGACTTAAAATCAGCTTTGCCTGAGAAAACATGAAAATACAGTTAAACTGCAACAATACACTATTATTTTTCAGTCTGCAAAAGCACATTTTTGCTTGGGTGAGCAATTTCATGACAGATTTCTTGCACATGAAATCACCCACATGCCAACAAACCAATGAGAATGTGAAAAAATAATGACGATTTATAACAATAGAGTGTAGGCGCCAAAGCTGTTGTGGATCTGCTCACCCTAATCCTTCCATAAGTGGCACATAAGAAAAAAAAACTTTTAAGAAAAAGAGTGACAAATAAATATGTTATAGTTACATGTGTATTCAGAACATTTTATTATGTAAGCTTTATGTTACAATTCAAATGACATGGGAATTTATAGTAATGATAATATTAATTAGCCACTCCCCGAACTCATTCTCTCAGATGAGTTTAAATTTCTCTGGTTATTCAAGACATTTGTAGCTTATATGGACTGAACACCCCTGTTTAGAATGTTCCTAATTGGTGTGCCAAATTTCACAACATTTTACATCTTTCCATAAGCTAAGTAAAAAAGACATCTATCACATACATTTCTTCATAAACTTCATCCATCATACATATGATCCCTCATTCTTTGACATTTGAAGCTTTCAGAAGTTCATGCAGTGTTCATGCATTTATGTCAGCGCTCTTTCTTTCTGACTTGTCTTCAGGCTCTTGTCAGATTGGCTGGGCGTACTACTGCACTGGGGCTGGCGCCACCTCGGCCCTGTTGCTGTGCACCTGGCTCGCCTGTTTCGCAGGGAAAAAACAAAAACAATACCCGTACTAGAAGAACCAACCTCAACTACAGCCTGAACCACAGCAGGACAGATGCCTTAGACTCAGTGGAGACTGGCTTTGCAGCCAATGGAATGACGGCTTTCCTCCATTAATGCAACTCCGACTCATTAAAGACTCAAAATGCTCATATGGACATTTGTGTGATTAAAATGAGCATACTTTTCAAAGAGACATGACTTTTGACAGTACTTCCACTGCTCTCTAAAAAACAACTAGAGAGTATTTAATGTGAAAGGACCAATTATTGTGTGTGTCTTTTTTATGTCCACTCTTGTGAATATTACAAATGTGCTTGTTTTTTTTTTGTTTTTTTTCTTTCTCTGGAATTGATATTGTAAATGTAAGCTTTGGTTGAGATGTAAAACAGACACTTTAGATGAAGTCTGCATATATAAAGTATTAATATTACTATGTCCTAAAATACGTCTTACATATATAAATACTGTACTTTAAATACTGTAACGCATTAAAACTAAAGCTGACATTTAAAAATGCTTAATTAATTAAACTTAAGTTAAATAACTTATCAGCACCGATAGCCTTGTGGGCAGCGCGTCGACATGCAGAGCTGTTGTGCCTCGGGCATCCGTGTTTGAGTCCTGGCTCGTGGACTTTGCTTACTGTCTCACTATCCTATCAATAAAAGGCAAAAACTCCAAAAATGAATAAAAAAAAAAAAGTTTGTACTGTTATGGACAGTGGTGGAATATAGTTTAGTAATCGTTATCTAAATATATTTGACCACTCCAGAATAAAGTATTCCAGAGTCGTGTTATAAAATGTAGTCATTGTTTACATAACGATATACAATTACATAGTGTATTAAAAATAATATTAAGCATTATATATACAGACTTCATGTAAATTGTTATCAAAAGATATATTCATCATTATTGTGTTTATATTTACATATCCATTGCAATAATATTCATGGTTAATATCTATATATTGCCTTTTTTTCATAACTTGATCATTTTTACATTATTGTATGCTACAAATATAGAATACAATATATGTTCTGATTAAATTTGACATTGACATATTGTGTTAAAAAGACAACAAAGAGCTTATTTGATTCATCTTGTGTTTGTGAATAAAATCTGTTTATCAACATTTTAGTTTTTATGTTAATCAGACATTAAATATTAGCTTACAAGAAAATATTACACACTACAGTACATTCAATCTCTCTCCACAGATGTGTCTTTAGCACAGCTACAACCGTTCTTCATACAGAACTTTTACACACCATTTGCAAATCACCATTTGATGGTTATCAAAAGTTATGAAACGGCATTTTCAGCCAAATACGCTTCCAAAATCTGACATATTTCAGAGTAAAACAAGACACTCAATGGAATTAAAGTAGGTTGGGACTTCATTTTATCCATTAGGATTTGATTGGATGGCCCCATATTAGTTGTTACATTTGATAAAAGATTGTAAAGTACTTCATGCTTTCTTTGGAATAATGTGCAGCGAATCCTTTTTTAAAGTTTATGATAGATCTTATTCCAAGTGTATCTAATATCAGTTGGTAAAGGCAGGTACCGCTAACCGTGTATGTGGTGTTTATAATTCATATCCTGAGCTCACACACTCATTAGTGGGGCATGAAGCTACTCCTGTGATCTGTTCCCATAATGATAATACCCACGATACCTTACACACACAGATGAAACCTCTATGTTGCTTTCATTCTCACTTCTAAGAGATCCTGTTCTTTTGGTGCTAAGTGTCTTGCAGTTCTGTGTAAGATCTTTTTCTCCCATTGATATTGCTGGAAATTGTTGGAAGTTTGAGGTGCACAGAATGACACATTGGGGTCAAGTGAACAGAGCACTTCACTCCTCTATTATCTCAGCTTGACATCTCACCACTAGCAGTGAGAGAAGATACAGCAAAAAGACTGTTTGATATCATTAAAACCATTATATGCAGCAGTTTCACTGAACACGTTGCTATTATTAGCCCTGTAATAATATTAGCTATTATTAGTATAGAGAAGATAAACCATTCAGGGCTTTATAATAGTTCCAGGTTCTTGTAAGAACTCTAGCTGCTGCATTTTGAACCAACTGGAGTTTGTTTGAACGTACAGAGCAACCACCCAATAAAGCATTATAATAATCTAACCCTGAGGTCATGAACGTATAAATTAATGTTTCTGCACTTGACATTGAGAGCACAGGTTGTAATTTTTTTTAAGATGTAAAAATGTAGTTTTACAAATGCTAGAAACATATTTTTCAAAGGAAAGAAATAAGAATGCTATCAAATAGCACACCTAGGTTCCCAACTGACAGTGTTTTAGGTTATTACATGCAGAGGTTTTTGGTCCAATAACTAAAACCTCTGTTTTTTTTTTGTTTTTTTGTTTTTTTAGTAGTAAGACTAATCATCCTTTTTTTTTAAAAATCAACTATGTATTCTACTCGTTTTTGAATGGATGTTTCATCAGGCCGCAAAGAAATATAGAGCTGAGTATCATCAGCATAACAGTGAAAGCTAACAACAAGTTTCCTGATGAAATCTCCCATGGGTAACGTAAAGCATGAAAAGCAGTGGTTCTAGTACTGAGCCTTGTGGTACTCCATACTGTACTTGTGATCGATATGATACCTCGTAGCCTAAGCCTAAAGGACCCACCCCTTAAAAACAGCTTGTTTCTGAGAGAAGTTCAGAATGAGGGTTGAAAATAATAATTTTTCCACGTATTTATTTGTTGTCGTTGTTGCTGTTGTTTTTTGTGTAAAAAACTTTATTAATATTATAAGTAAACCTCAAAGAACATATTAAAATGATGAAGAAAAAAAATCCATGTCATGACCCTTTTAAAGGTGCACTAAACAATTTTTGCCAAACAATGTTTTATTTGTCAATGTTCAAACAAAGCACCAAAACAAACGTCCCAGGTTACTTATGTAACCATGGTTCCCTGAGTAGGGAACGAGACACTGCGTCCTCTAGGGGTCGCTATGGGGAACACCTCGTCGTGACCCGTGTCTGAAGCATACATTGAAAAAATACTTACTCGTTGGCCGGCGACAGCCATGACGTCACTACCGGTGCGACTATAGTATAAATAGGCGCCGGGAGCTACACATCATTCACTTCTTCGTCTGAAGCTTGCGTCCGCAGCATGGCGGAAGGCTCAGCCTCAGCTTCTTTGCCCTCCTCAGCTATTTCCTGCTTTTTCTGGGCTGATCCCAGCAGAGCAATGGCCCCTTAGTCAGACAATGTTAATGAAATAACATCATCCTCCAGCGGCTCACTCTCTTCCACAGCCGACGATCGCAAAAGGGAAAACCCCCCTTCAAACTCATCGGCCAGATCCACCTGCGATCCCCACGAGCTCATTCCCTTCCGTGCTTCAGCAGAGGCGGGTCCTGGATCGCGGGAAGCAGATGGCTGCCCCTCTTTCCTCGAAAAGAGAGACAAACGAGTGCGGAGCTTTTTTTTCCTTGGAAAAAACGCTCGCAGTGCACGCCGATTGCCCCCTCGGAGACATCGCGTGCGTGCTCTTTGCCCAAACAAAACAACGCATAGATCGTGTGTGTCATCAGATGTTAAACAACGTCAACATGGATGCACACATCCTTAAATGCTTTGCTAGTGCTCGCCATAATGAGATAAATAGAGATCGCTCTTACCACAGAAATGCATGCTTCAAACAAAACAGTCAATGAAGACGAAGAAGAGAATGATGTGTAGCTCCCGGCGCCTATTTATATTATAGTCGCACCAGTGATGACGTCATGGCTGTCGCCGGCCAATGAGTTGGTGTTTTTTCAATGTATGCTTCAGACACGGGTCACGACGAGGCGTTCCCCATAGCTACCCCTAGAGGATGCAGTTCAAAGTTCCCATGAAAGGGAACATGCCCATACCCCAGCAGGACCTCGCCCCTATTTTTAAATCTCCGCCCCACACGTACTTTCACAACCATGGCAATGACGATCGTGGAAACAAGTGAAGATGTCACACAAGCATATTCAAACAAAAGCCAACATGGATAAGTTGTGTGAAACAAAGCAAAATCAATGTTACTCACCTATCAAGAAGAAAACAAAAATGCAATCTCAGCGTCCAGTTTCAGGCCTTCCCACTCCTTGTGTTCTCTATACCACTGGAGAGCTGCTCCGATATTTACGCAGGTCCTACCTCTTGCCTGACCATAACACTTCTTTTAAAGATTAGTGTAATGAAATTAATTAATTTGTAAGGGAATTAATTATTGTTAATTCATTCAGGTTTTAAAAGGACTCGAATCTGAAAATTCTGAGTCAACCTGATTAAAGCTGAATTCAAATCTGATAGTTTACACTTTAAATCAAGGGTCGTCCAGCGAGCCGGTGATTCTTAGTATATTTTAACAAATTGAATATCTGTATTACCCCTGGCCACGGGTTAATACGATTATAATAATTCGTAAGCTCTTAGAGTAATTATTATAAGTAAGCTACGAGCTGGGTAGCAAGGGATCTTTTGGCAACAGTTTTAACCTTGAAATTATATGACACCAACAATGATTCTTTATAAATGAAACATGAATTTTATTGGCTACTCTAGATTACATCAAAACTAAGCTAAAACACACATACACACAAACATACAGTTTCTTTAGAATGAGAGTTGACGGAGTTGCATGAAGTTTCAAAATTCTAACTCGTTTTCACGAGTGATTTAAATTCACCTGAGAGAATTCACAAAGCAGAGAATTTTAGCTTATGTTTACTGCTTAAAGTAGCTCGATACCAGTTCAGCAGAGATAAGATTTTGTTTGTTTACTTGCGTTCTGCTTGGTTGACAGCTGAAAAGCTGAGATGATGTCGTTGATGACACGGGCTTCCTGGATGGCTGCTGAGGGAACCCCGTTGCTGATTGGTTACTGAGGTGACGTCAGGATGGTGTCCCTTTGGGGAAACCCTTCCGGCGATTGGTTGGCTTCTTGGAGGCTTCAGCAGTTTTGCTGAAAAGTCTTGAGTTTGCAAGACTTTAAGTTCTTCGAAGATTTCAACTGAAGTGTTTGAGTTTTAGATGACCAATCGCTTTGATGGTAAACGTGTGAGCACAAGGTGGAGTGCTCTTAACACGGCGACAGGCGAAAGCAAGCAAGCAAATCTGTCCTGCATTGGGTTTTGATCCGCGGCATAAGTCCGTCCCACGACGCGACCTTACAATCACCTTCTTGCAAGTATGCATACATTAACCAGAGGCTCCAATTTATTAT